GCAGAGGTGGTGGTGAAGGCTTCTGGAAATTGTAGTCCAAGAACACCTGGAGGCCCAAGGTTGGGAATCACTGCTCTAGAGGAAAGACTGAATATAAATATTATAAATAATATTATGTCCCTGTCACACTCCTCTTAGTTTTTTTATTATTATTTGATATACAATGGATGAAATCCTGTTACTTAAATTTATGCCTGCACCAGCTGATGGCATCATCAGCATGGGCTTTTATCACTCATTCAAAGTTCCTTCTCCCACCCCACTCTCAGTTCTGAGGCTTCCTTGGGATCTGTCATAGGTCTGAGCCTACCGGGCAGTTAAGATCTAGCCAGGCGGCCCTTTTGAAAGAGCCATCCCTCAAGGAGGCAAGAAGGACGGCTTGTAGACAAAGGGCATTTTCAGCAGCTGCCCTCAGACTATGGAATGCTCTCCTGACTGAGATTCGTCTGGTGCCGACGCTGATAAAATTTTGGCGCCAGGTCAAAACTTTCCTGTTCCAGAAGGCTTTTAATTGAAATAATAAATAAATAAATAATAAATAAATAAAATAAGGTGGTCAGGCACTCCCATTTCTTTAAGGACTTGCCATAGTTTGCTGTGGTTCACAGTTAAAGGCTTCTGCATAGTCAATGAAGCAGAAGTAGATGTTTTTCTGGAACTCTCTGGCTTTCTCCATAATCCAGCACAGGTTAGCATTGCGATGATTGGTAAGCATTTCGCTTACCGATCTTCACATTGCGATGTTTACAGAACAGCTGATCGGCGGTTCCAAAATGCCCGCCGGACGCCCAAAATGGCTGCCGCAAGTGTTTTCGCGCCCTGCTCTCGCTTACTGAGGGCGCGAAAATGGCGGCGCTATGGAGGAACTTCACTGAACGGTGAGTTTGGGCCCCATAGGAACACATTAAACTAAGTTTAATGCATTCCTATGGGGTTTTCCGATCCATTTAGCGATGTTTTTGCATAGCGATGATTAATCCGGAATGGATTAACGTCGCTATGGGGGACACCACTGTACACTTATCCAGATGTCTTAATCATGTGAGAAATAGTTGTGATGATAGGCAGTAGGGAGATCACTGTGGAAGAAACCATCATCGGATCCCACTGTCCTGGGCATTTATTTATTTATTTATTTATTTATTTATTTATTTATTTATTT